TAAAGCGAGGGTTTGCGATGTATATGTGAAAATTATAAAAGCCTGTGAGCGATTCGAGGCCGTTTGGAGAATTTGCCACCAAAGGTTGTAGCTTGATGTGATTCTGGTTTAAAATTTTCTGTAGACCTATGAATGGAAATGGCATCTACAACCTATGATTTAGAGCAAAAGACCGAGATGAGTCAGCAATTTAGAATCGTATTGGATTTTAAATGGTCTGAGTGCATATGATTCACCAAACTCAACTTTAAAAGGGTGAGTAAGGTGAGCCACGAACCCGGCTTTCCCCGGAAGCATAAGTGTTCCACGCAGACGGTCCTGTGAGATCACGAATTCACCAGGGAATTCCAACACCACGTGTGATTTCAGCAGTTCACTCAGTAACAAGCAAGGAGAAAGATGGTAGCATGTATTCAAAAAGACCTGTGGTGTATTTTCTATTTACCTCAACTACTGAGGTTTCACGTGTAATGATGTATTTATCTGCATGTGTCTTTTATTTTGAAAGTTACAGGATGTTTTACACTGCTTTTGTGTTTGACTTCCTGTCTGTTGTGATCTAAACTGCTGCGCTTGAGTTCTAGAAGCATAGCACATAGACCCAAAGCGTAAATTTGGCTAAGAGAGGCAACATTATATTTCTGAGACATGTCCAAAACGTGCCAGTTCCTGGATGACGGAAATGCATCCATCCACTATAATGATGGATCATTTCTGCGTACTGTGCTTTGCGGACGTTACGTGATGATTATGCTTCTGGTGGACAGGCTGCGTAACACACAGAAAACCATCTAGCTTCATGTTCTCAATGGAAAATACAGCCAATAATCACATCTGATCACATCTCAGTCGATTTTCTTTTGGTGATCCATAGTGATTGAATTTTTTACTTTTGAAACCTAAAGACTAAAGTAAAATGCTTTTTTTCTTTAAAAAACAACAAAATATCCACATTTTTAAATCACAGAAAACAAAAGAGATGCCAAACATCTGCTCAGTATTCACCATGGAGCAGGGCCTGTTGCTCACGTGTTTATTTGTGCCGTTGCTCAGTGGTGAAGAAGCTGCATGGGGTACGATTACCGTCAAACACATTGTGCACCGATGGCAATTAAAACGGCCATTAGTGGAGCCAAAGGGAGCAAGATAAGAAAGAACGACACAAAACTAGATAATAAGGCAGATGAAACAGTGGAATGTCCTTCACAGCTGAACACTCTGAACAGAAACTGGAGGTGTGGCACACACTGATGATTATTTCGTACCTCCATTGTGGTAAAAAGCTGAAAGATACTGAGAGGTTTTTTTCTAATCCAGTCCAGTCATGGAAGAAGTCATGAAACTGTGTCACTCTCTAAGTCAATGCAGAGATCAGCATCGTCTCCATGGCTGTTTTCAGCTCAACTCCACCCCAGGGGATGGGTCAAATGTGGAGAACAAATTTCACACACACATCAGTGTGTGTGACAACTGATGGCACTTTAACTTTAACCCTCCCACTGTCTTTATGGGTGACCCTGCTAGGAAAGTTGACCATTGAGCAGGATTGATGGTTTATCCCTTGAGGTCCACGTGGCGGGGTGAGGAGTGAGCACCACCTCACTCCTGCCACATGAACCCAAGGGATAAACCATCAGTCCTGCTCAATGGTCAACTTTCCTCGCGGGTTCACACCCATTAGGACAGTGGAAGGGTTAACTGATTTTGAAAGAGCTTGGTGTAGCCACGCTCAGCTGGTCGACCAATGGTCTGATCCATTTTGTGTCTTGCCAATCACAGTGCACTGCGTTTGTTGGGCAGGTTAAGTGTCAGAACAGAGAAAAACAACAAAGACGGCGTCAGGTTAAGAATGGCTCACATTTGAAACGACTTTGGCATCAAATTTGGACGATGTAGACTTGAGCTTTTCTTTGAGACATGAGGAGATGGTACTTAAGTCCTTTATTTTGAAAAACAATGCATTTTCTTCTTCTTTGACAGTGTATGATGGACTACCTCAATGACTGACTGCCGTAGCAATGAATACGTCATGATGTTTGTTGCTCTGATTGGCCCCAGTGCTGCAAGACAGGGTTGGTTCAAAGGTTCGTGGCCAGACTATACATCTACATATGTAGGACGGCTTTCTTTGAACAAGGCTGTCAAGGAAGCGAATTACAAGCTATGACATAAAACACCCTTCTAAATGACAAACTAAGCAGTTTAAATATTGACCACCAGCCACAATTACAATACATGGAACCATAGTTTACAGTGTACTTCGTTTTTGCGCCTCACCTGTAGGAGCAGTTGTCAGAACAAGGGTTATGAGCCCGTACAATCACAAAGACGTGCTGGAAGTGTGAGCGAATGTTTTTGGGAGTGAAGGGGAGCGCCCCAGGTTCCTGGAACACAATCGTGACGATGTCATTCCCAATATGACGCTTCCTCAGCAACTAAAAGGTAACGATAAGAGGTAAACAACAAAGCGTTAGGCTAAAGTGATGTTCAGATCATCACAAACAGTCATAATCTGGATGTTGTACCTGTTGCTTGTTGTTGGGTGTGTACGGCAACATGGTCGACACGTGGAACATGATCTCATAATCCTTGTACGTCGTGTACAAAGAATGGGTGCCTGTCGAGTCAGCTGAGGGGGACACAAGGGCACGTGAACTCCTCAATCATTTGAAATCTGCAGTCTTTTAGGGGTGTTTTAAAATTATTCATCATTTTTTAAAGAAAACAAAGATACTTTGTGAAGCATTTAACATTGAGCTAAATTCTAAAGTAAAAACAAAAGGCTGAACATGGCAGACTGCTAATTTCTCCAGCTTTACAGACACCGGATGACCGTGTGCTCTGCTCTGAAGAGAGACACAGCACAATAACAACCACTTCCCCAATCTATTAATGTGCTTTAGTGAGAGATCAAATCATTCAGCAGGTGATCAAAACGACGAGCGTGGTAAGGTTACTTCAATTAATTACACTTCTTTGGGGAATGCTTTGAAAGACTTTTTAATTGACAATGACTGAACGTTGTTCTGCTTGGTATAAAATTCTAGCAGGAAGGAACCGAGGGTTCTTATGATGCAGCAGCGTTCTAACTAAAGCCTGATTCATGCTTCTCCGTCTGCATCAGTGCGGAGACACGCAACGCCATTATCCGTCCTTGCAAGCCTGCTGGAGAGCCCCGCAAGTACGTACGGAGTTGAGTTCTCTTTTCTAAACATCCGTCCGTCGAGACGGAGAACGCAAGCTTGTGATTGGTCAGGGCACCTCTGTCGTCTACACTGCCACCATTGCGCCCTCAAAAACATAAAGAGAGCCGAAGATCAGAAAGGCCGCAGCAGAGTTTCGAACCTGCAACCTTCGTGCTGCGAGGCAACAGTGCCAACAACTGTGCCACCATCCTCAGACAACATCTATTAAATGCTACGATACATGGAAATACTACAATGTCTTGTGTTATGAAACTGTGTATACATTTTTTTGTGTATTTATTTTGTGCAGTGCAACTCAAACATCGACTGCCAGGTGGCAGCAATTCTTACGGTCTTCATTCTGATGGAACAACGCAATCTCACAATGATAATGGATGTGTCTCGGAAGAGTCTGGCCAAAGTTCAATTATATCAATTAACTCATTCTGCCATTGACGACTAAATTCGTCATTTGCATTTTTTTTACTGTGTGGGCGTCGGAACGAGCTCCCGCACTGTGAGAACAAACATCTCAGCTCTGAAGCCGATCTTCATCCGCGTACGTCACACGTCACGCGATCAGGAAGCAGAACATCCATGTGTTAGGAGATCGTTTTGGGCCACAGCTGTAAAAAAAAAGTGAGGGGCGAACCGGAAAAGCTTCTGCCAATCACAATTCAACAACGGATTATGAAAGAACAGATAACGCTCGAAACATGCGAATTCTTCCTGATGTAAGAGGTGAGTCTCTGCTTTGTTTTGACGTCGACATCATCCTAGTGCACAACTGTGACTCTTAAAAAAACAGTAAAAACGGTGAGAAACGCCGGCAGCGAATGAGTTAAATTAAATTTAGTCCTAAAAATAGCAAAAATCATTAAGTTTTTTTGTATCGCAATATATTGGATCACCTGATTCTTGTGCGAGAAGTGCATTACGGTTTCATTCGCGGCGTGCCAATCCCGACCGGGTGTTTTTTATCTCCAGAACAACCATGGATGGAGAAACCATGTCATATAAAAGCCTTGGGGTCCACGCTGAAAAACACACCGATGCTCTCCTCAAATGATAAAGGGATAAAATGATTTAAGAAATTAAAAATCTGCATTTGTCTTGTTTTAAAATAAACGGTATGCTCTCCAGTGATGCCGTGTAGATTTTCCTATTCAGCCCAATGTAAACCGCAGCGCTTCGTGTGCTCTGGAGACACGGCGAATCAAAAAACGGAAACCGAGCGCTTTTTTGGCTGCGCGGCATGACAACACACTTCTGGGAGCTTCATCACACGTTCATACTTTTTGTGTCCAGCTGAGCTCGGTATTTGTTGAAGCCTTTGAGTCGGACTCTGTCTCCCAGCAGATGGAGGAACTCCTCCATTGCAGGCCCAGCTGCTTCGTTATTATACATCTCCTCCTCGCTGCTCTGGCCTGCCATGCAGTACATCACTCCTACCTTTCTCTGGAAGCTCAACTGTAAAGAGAAAACAGACAATAAAAACCAGGAGACAGTTCTAGGACCTTGTTCACTCATGACAGATGTTGACATTTTAGGCAGAACTTGTGTTGGCATTTAGACTAACCCTGAGTTGTTCTGAAGTGATCATGGTTCCATTTTCTAAAGAAATGCTGATGACATTTTCTGAGGTTTTAACTTTTGATGATTGAACCATAAAGCATGGCCATCAAAGAGCTTGTTTTGTATTTTTACCCATCACTAGGGCTGACACCTGTTTGAGTTTGATTATGTGACGCTATGCAATACTTACACACAGCTGATCAATACAAGTAAAACGTAACAGGCCACAAATAGGTTAAACATCATCACATACAACCTCATTCATAAAACCCTTATGCTACATAAATGACACTGTAAAGGTCTTGAATTCAGAATGTGGCGAATATTCACATTTTTTAATTATTTGTGAATTAAAATAGTTGAAATCCATTTTATTGAATAAAAAAATGTTGTTCGTGTGCATTTAAGCTGAAATTATTCATTTTTAAAATTACTTGATTTTCATAAATTTGCATATTTATTTTAATTTATTTAGATTATCATATTTATGAAATTAAATCATAAATAATTTAACTAGTTTTAAAAAAGACGAAGTGATTTTTATGAATTAGCTTTTTATTTAATTTAATAAGATTATCAAATTAATTATTGATAATATCAAACAGCAACAACAATAATAATATACATTATTAAAAATCATTAAATACTGTACATTTAATATATTTTTATGATTTAATGGATTTTAATAATTTATGAAGATTTACTTTAGATTTTTCACAAATGGGTTTAAATAAATCTCTGGAGTAACTTTGAATTTAAATGAATTGTTTTTTAAATTCCATCTCATCCCACAAGCACACATGTCCTCACCCCCTGCTCGTCCAGCTTCATCAGCTGGTCGGTGACTTTAGGCGTGTTCAGCGCCAGACGCAAGCAGTGAACATTGAGCTCGGGAAGGAGGTAGTCCAGCACTTCTTTGAGGGGCAGGCCTCGAGCAAGACCGTGCTTGGATGTGGATGGTACTGCATCTTCGAGGATGGAACCACGTAGGGTATTAAGCTGGAGCCGAAGAATAAAAAATAAAAAAAATCACACAAAATTCCAGGATCATCAGCACACCTGATTTGGAAATTCCTTTTCCAGCTAAAAGAAGTGCATCAGACTATGATTCCACACACACAACATAACTCACAGAAGGTTTCACCTCATTTAGGTCATGCTGTTATGATAAATGTGTATTGTAGTCACCTGGGTGGTAAAAATGAGCCTCTGCTTGACTGTTATTGCTTTCATGAAAAGATCGCATTACATTACAGAAAAGTATGATTTATGAAAATGTCATTAAAATATTAGCTACGTTTACATGGGCACAAGTAATCCGAATGAACGCCATATCAGATAAAACACTCTTCATGTAAACATGGCAATCGGAATATTCTGATCCGAATCAGCCTGATCGGAAAGAAATTTCCTTCCGATTGAGAGAGGTGGTTTTGTCCGATCATTATTCCGACTGATGTCCGTGTACACACCCGTTTGGATTGTTGTTGGGGTAAAATAATGCCCACTGCGCATGTGTGCAACTTCAGCTCCACATCCTTCCGCCTTTGCAAATGCTCAGGACAAGTCAAAAACATGGAAGTGAACAGAAGTGGTCTCTCCACGGGAACTCAATATTATTGAACATCTCGATGGCTGAAAGGCTAGAAATGCTGAGTTATACACTCAAGTGCGTCTAAAGATGCAGGAAGCGGGAATTCACCAAAATATTGACCAAATCAAAAACCGCTGGAAAGGTCAAACTACGGACAAAGCTAGAGAATAAGAAAATAAAATGTGTGTGAAAGATGTGCGGACAAGATGGCGATGGTTTACAATTTATTTTTTGGGAAAGACAGCTCTGTGCATGCTCAACCCATAGGGAGCCAAAGTCTCCTCCCTTTCCGGTCGGCTCATGGGTCCCCAGAAGAAGGAAAAAATGAGAGCAAGTCAACGGGGCTGAAAATGCTATTTTCTAATCCGCTTAGCCTTACGCCCTGAATCACACATACGTTGTACTGCTATTTAAATGAAAAGTAATGATGGGTGTTTCGACCACGCCAGTCACGTACTTTGAGATTTATCAGCTTGTAAAAGTTCGTAATTAGCACGATTACACACCAGAAATCGGCACGTCGCATATGTGACGTCACCACATAATCTCCTCTCCCCTAGCGTAGCTGCTACTTACCACATGACCAGATGTATGGTGGATATTTCCTCCTGTGGGTAGTTTGCTGAACTTACAGCCATTTTCCCTCAGTTTTTCTCCGTGTTTGGTTCACTTTAGTGAAGCGCATTTGTAGTCCTGGACTTATTTTCACACAAAACCTAAAATATCGTTTACCCTCATTCGAAAATAAGCGTGTTCTTGGTATCAAAAAGTTTCTTTAAAATTCACGGATGTAAGGTTTGGCAAATTGAGTGCTTTAAGAGCTCAATATATATATTACCTCTACTTATGACCAATAAGCTGTGATACTCTATCTAAATATAGAATCTCAACCTTGCTTGGTCTTCACGGTGTTTAATCAGAAGATCTAGGATTCTTGCTTTATCAGGGGATTGTACACACTTCGTTTTGATTCAGAAAAGAGTCAGGTTTATAAAGGTAAGAATTTATTTTACCAACAATTAAAACATGACAAGTTAACTAAGCATTTACTGTGATGGATGGAACTAAATGTGATGTATGAACCTAAGTGTCAATGAGATGTTAGTTAGAACTTCCTTATCTAGGACAGCTGAGTTCTGGATGTAAAAGAATTTGGTTTGCGTTAAGCAATGAAGGTGGTTGTTATCAAAACACATCAGACACAATCTGTCATGTCTACGTACCCACTCGAAAATCCTCGTGATAGATCCGGAATGTCGAAGTCCTTGGACTTCCAGGAACCGAGGCCCGTAGAAGAACTGCTGCACTACTAACCGCGCGTCTAGGACTCTTAAGGAGTCAAAACAATATCAGCTTGTTCTGCAGGAACTGTTGCGGTATCATCTTCGCAGGTGCAAAAAGATTTTGACGACATGTCAAAAGTGTTGATGGGTTAAAGAGGTGCTGCTTCAGATGGCCGGTCTGAAACTTTATCTAGAACTGAGAGATCACCCGAGAGTGATCCAGTTTTGATGTTCTCATGTTGTGATTTGTGTAGCCAACCAAAGGTTGACAGGTTTGAGAAATGTTACCAAGAAACTCAGAAACACACCTTCTTTGATACGGATGCTCTGACTGGGGTAAAGGACTATTTTTGTGTCAAGAGTTTAACTTAACCTTATTTTGTTCTTGTGTAAGTACAAATGGTGATGACCTTGTCAAGTAAACATGCAATCAATCACTGTAATCACAACATAACATTCATTTCAAACTTCAATCACTGATCACAGATTAATGAAATATTTCATTATATTATAATTATTATAAGTAGCAATAAACAAATGTTTATTTAATGATTATCTAGCTTATAAGTTGTAGAAGTTCATATCTAATTTAGGAAATCCAGGCTGCGAGTGTTCCTTATATGGAGGCATAAAGAATCCTGAAAGATTGGACCTTGAGGAGAGAATGTTATTGTTGACATTGCATTATCTGTGTTCAGAGCTGCAGGCTCTGAGCTACAGCTGGTGGGATGAAGGCAGGCTGATTAAAAGGGGACACATGCAGTCTTGTGTCTCCTTTTTGACTAGATGTTGAATGGTCAAACTGTACCTAAAACTGACCATTGCTGAACATTACACGGACATCAAATGTGAAATCCATGTCACAAAACAAGCGGAATTAGAAAATTGCGTTTTTAGCCCCGTTGACTTGCGTTCATTTTTTCTTTCTTCCGGGAACCCATTGCCCGGAAGTAGATAGGTGAGACTTAGGCTCTTTATTTAATTTGACTGAATGGTTGATGCATGTAAATTCACGGAATGATCGGATTATTTAAGTTAGTGTCCATGTGAACAGAGACTTGGGATTTCTTAGTGTCCATGTGAACAGAGACTTGGGATTTCTTAGTGTCCATGTGAACAGAGACTTGGGATTTCTTAGTGTCCATGTGAACAGAGACTTGGGATTTCTTAGTGTCCATGTGAACAGAGACTTGGGATTTCCGATCAATGAAGATTTGAATCGGATTGGGGAAATTAGGTGCATGTAAACGTAGCTACCGTTTTACATCCGCAACAACATAAACATAACCCAAACTTCAGCAATAATAGTGGACCTCAATCGTCAGTTACATTTAGAGTGAGAAATAAATAGTGGCTGGCCTTTTTTGGGGGGTGGTTCATACATGAATGTTCAAAAAACAATCAAGCTGAAGGAGAAAACGTGTAGGTTTTGCTGATGTAGTTTCTACTATAAAGTAGAGCCCTGCACGGGCCTAAAATCTGAGCCCGTGTCCGGCCCGGCCCGAGGGGGTGGAGCCCCAGCCCGACCCGGCCCGAAAAGGTTTTCAGGATTCTCTGGCCCGGCCCGAGCCCAAGCCCGACTTTTTTTAACCAACTAAATGAAAACAAAGTGCGTCAATCCTGACCAATGTGTTAAAAGATGTGCAGGATCCGAGCGTCGCAGAAGCGCATGCGGGAAGCTTCCCACTGAAGCGAGTGTTTTCCAAACCCGGTCTCTCAGAGAGACTTGTCACTTAGAAAATGTTCCCTGATTATGAAACTTTGGCTGAATAGCGCTTGTTCCTGTCTCCAATGTGCGACACATCCAGGAGCCGTCTGAGGAGAAGCCCAGAATCTCACATCCTCTTCAGCTCATGAGCGCATATGATTACGCACAAGCGTGACCCAACACGGTCTCACAGTAAGACTGGGTTGGAACTGTTCAGGTTTACGCAGACAATCTTCACATAGAATTGACTTACAGATATAAAATTAATTCAGTAAAATATAAAGCATTTTATTTAAATACCCATTCATTATTTTACAAGCACATCGGCAGATGGATGGAAGAGCCGCGGGTTGCCGATCCCTGCTCTAGTTCAAGATATCATTAAAATTCCAAAAGTGCTGAAAAGATTAAAAATGGGGCTTTCCGTGCATATACAATACATTACAGTATCCACCGGGATTTCCTGTCTTGAGCGCAACGAATCACAACACAGATTCAGAGACGTGCGAGTTTGTCATCCAAAATGCTCCGTTTTATAACTTTTGAATGGTTGATCAGATTCAAATAATTCCAACGGTTCCTAAAAGTACATAAAAGCAGCTTTCCAACGGTCTATAGCATGAAGCAATCAGAGTTAGAGAAAATATCGCTACGAGGGGAAATCCTGCTGTACAGCCTGATTGAAACGGAGCGCAGCACTGCTGTGAAAGCGGATAACCTATAAAATGACATGTTGAGGACGCAAACTCAATACATCTCTTTTATTGTGAGGTAATAATTTCTCCGAGTTTTGCGGTTGCGGGCGGGAGTAGACATGCACGCTGCAGGTGTGGGCGGGAGTAGACATGCACGCTGCAGGTGCGGGCGGGAGTAGACACGCTGCAGGTGCGGGCGGGAGTAGACATGCACGCTGCAGGTGTGGGCGGGAGTAGACATGCACGCTGCAGGTGCGGGCGGGAGTAGACACGCTGCAGGTGCGGGCGGGAGTAGACACGCTGCAGGTGCGGGCGGGAGTAGACATGCACGCTGCAGGTGTGGGCGGGAGTAGACATGCACGCTGCAGGTGCGGGCGGGAGTGTAACACACACATTGCGGTTGCAGGCTGTAATGGTCAGAAATTCAGCGGGAGCGGAGCGGGATGAAGAAAACAGTCCCGCACAGGGCTCTACTGCTGCGTTTAAGTGTTTTAATTTTTTTAATGATTTCGAATAAAAATAAAGGCGCCCGGCCCGGCCCGTGTCCGAGGTAATTACACAGTCGTTGGCCCGAAGCCCGGCCCGAGGGCCGTCGGGCCGGGCCGACCCGAGGGCCTAGGGCTTCAGTGCAGGGCTCTACTATAAAGACTCAAGTTTCAGGGTAATGCAAAGCAAGGAGGACATGCACGAATAAATCAGGAGGACTGTGAAAAGTTCAAGGCCTGAGCATTTATCATGAGCAAATAAACAAGAGCTGGCAGTCTATAGTGGTCCCGAGACACTTAAAGTGTCTGCGTCTTGTGTTTGGTTGGGCCAGAACACTCGTTTTAAACAAAACCAAGAAGAGAAGTGCTCTTAACTCAGGAGAGGACAGACGTCCTTGATGGACACTGAACTTTGGTCCTCAAAACTCAGCACATCCCACTCACTCCCACACAGGCACACATTTTACTTTTATACCTATAAACCCTCTGCTCTGAAAATAGCAATTACACTGGAAACAAAAAGACAGGAGTGCAGAAGATTGTGCGTCATTTTAAGCTACCGCGAGGGCAATTGTTTGTGTTACGCTTTAATACAAGAACAATGTTTTCCTGCCTCACTTTAATACTTTTGGTCTTATTTTAGTCCCGTTTAGCTGCAAAGTGGCACAGCTCAGTCTTTCACAGACGAAGGCTGACAAACATGGTGGGTGGGTGTTTAGCTCAGGGAACGAGGACAAGAATCTCCAGCTCTAGAGTGCAGGAAAGGAGGGATTCAATCGTTCTGGCTGGAAACCAGTGATCAAGTACAACAGAAACAAGAGTACATTAGAAATTAGATCAAACATTTAAGCGTTTGAGGTGGTGTTAAGGAGCAGAGGCGTTAGCATCTTGAGCTGACAACCGTCAGCTCAAGCTTTTACATCTACCCCCAACTGTGTGCAGATCCTGTGTGTTAACTCCTACTCAATCTGAACTCATAATAGCTTCTCTGTAACATCACTCAGTACACAGTGTACTAAATATTGACACGTTTGAGAGTGTGAACATGCACAGATGGAGAAATACAGCAAATGTTGATGAATGGAAAGCTTGGTTTGAAACGAATCCCTTAGGGCGATGATAAAAACACAACAAACTCTGAAAATCCTCCACATGTCTGAGTTTGTTTAACTTTACCTCACTTGTTCTGAAGATGACCCTGTAATTGTACTGCTGGCCATGCTCTTTGTGCTCCTCCAGCTTCTCCCTCCTCAGACTCACCGCCATCGGACCCAGGTTCTCGTCCACCCCCAGGTAGTTCCAGTGCTCTGGGATTTGAAGGTAAAAAAAAAAAAAAAGATTTCATGTAAAGAATAACAAAAAAAACAAGAAATTTTATGAATAAATGTCAAACCACTGAAAGTAAAATCCCAGTTTTTCCTAGATGCAGATGTCATGAATACTAAATACAAAAAAATCAACTGTCAGTGACATTTTCTCTGCAAATGCAGTTAAACCCCAGAGAGACGAGGATTAAAGGTTAAGAAACAGAAGGTCTAAAACCCTCCAGTTTTCTTACCTCTCAGATAGAAATACTTCCGGTAGTAATAGGCACCAAGGTCCACGTGTTCCATAATGTATCTTTTGGACCTGTCTGCATGCTGACTCTGTCCATCTTTAGAAGCCTCCAACACGGCCACGCCAGCGTTAGTGAAGTGGGTGGTGAGCGTGGCATCCAGAGGTCCTTCCTCTGTGCTGCCAGAGGAACTGCTAGAGCTTCCACCGCTGCCTATGCTGCCCTGCTGGAAGTCAGTTTTACGCAACATTTAAGTACAGCTCTTGCTGGTATTCCATTTAAATATATATTTAATTTCTTGCACTGAACTTACTTGTTTAGAAGGACAGATGTTTCTCTCACCCTCTCCACCGATCTCGTTCCGAAAACAAGGACAGCTGAGAACCAAATCATTGCTCTTGTCGTCACCAGGGTCCAAGGCAGGGTTGGTTCCGTGTCCTCCTCCTGTACCGTCCTTGCATAACTCTTCTTGCGAGCCGCAGGGGGACCCATATGTCCCACTCTGATTGGAGGAAAGGGAGGAAGTAGCAGATGCAGATGCGGCGGCGGCAGCAGAGGCACCTGTTGTGGTGTTCTTGCGTTTGGCCCCAGATTGACGGTTATGGATTACCTCATTGAGGTCGAACAATAAAGATTGCACATCAAAATGGGCAAAACCTTTTTGGCACATCCAAGGTTTTGGAGGTGGGCCGCTTTCATCTCCTTTGCCCCCATCTTCGGCGTCTGAGCCGGCTCTCGATGTGTCGCCCTCCACCTTCACGCTACGTAGCTTTCTGAAAATAGACTCTCCCCCCGTTTCTGACTTTGACCTTCTCTTTAAGTGCTTCTCTCGTTCCTTCAAGCGGCTGGCGGGACTACCTCTGGCTGGACAGAGGGGTCCATCTGGCAGGTCCAAGGCAGCCTGTTTTATAGGCGCCACAGTAAGAAGTTCTGTTAGCCGCTCCGGAGTTGGGCTTCGCTGATCGGGAGTCTCTGATGACTGGTAGCCCTTTAGCATGTCAAAGAAGCTCTCTCCTGACACACCGTGTTTGTCGATAGAGGAGGTGCTGCCGTACTCCCGGTGCATGGGTGTCCATCCAGAAAAGGACCAGCCCTCGTTGCCATCCCCATCCAGCTCACTGATGGTTATATCGCTGTTACTGCGCTGGCGGATGCGTCTCATGCCTTTGCGAGGAGAACCTTGGTAACCGTCAGGTGACAGGAAGCGACTGTCCTTCCCTTTGCTTTGCATTTTGTTCTTTAGTGTGTTTTGGATGTTGCGCAGCATGGATGAGTCTTGTGGGCTTATGAGGTGACCCAACTTCGCCGAGAGGTTGCTGTGGGCCGTGACGGCGGACACACCTCCTCCTTCTCGTCCACCTCCACCTCCACTGCCACCACTACTACTGATTCCTCCTCCTCCACTCCCTCCTCCTCCCAGAAGTCTTTCTCTGTCTCCACTTCCTGATCCTGAAGAGCTGGTGGTATTGGTGGAGCTAGGCGAGTCTGTTTCCACGGTGATGTGCCAAACCCCTCCTCCTCCTCCTCCCCCTCCTCCTCCTCCTCCTCCATCTTTCCTTGGGGGCCAATCAGCTACTCGAGCTCGAACCCCCATTTTAGGGACACCGGGGTTGGTGCCAGTGGTTGATGAGGAGGAGATGTGTGCGCTTTCGCTGCGAGGTGGCGGTGCTCCTCCATTGGGCAGTCGAAGGCGACGGGTGTAGAACTCATCGGTGGCTGGTACAGAGCCTCCGACCGAGCGCTCGGTCTGAGAGCGTTTCAGACTAGTCATGATGAGGATGGTAGAGGGTGTGGGGAGGGGAGGTGGGAGGAAAAGGTAAAGATAGGATGCTGACGGTTTTAGATTTGAGACATCATGATGCCCACGGAGGGAAGTGATGAGAGACGTTCACATCTGGAGCTGCAGAAAAAGAAACGTAACAAAGATGCCGTTTCTAAGTAGAACTTTTAAAAAAAAATTCAGTACCATTACCCCTACTTTCAGTTATACATCAACGTAGACGGATTCGTAAAAAAACACTAAACTCAGGCTAGCTTAGAAAAACGTTACTAAACTTTATAAAGCACATTTAAAATGACCAACAGTGACCAACAAAAACTTTATAAACTAAAACATTAATACGACAGTTTACCTCTGAAGAGCTACAGCTTGAAACTAAAGATGCTGTTGCAGATTTTCACTGCTGAAGTCTCTAAAAAGCCATCTGCATTGGATTCCTGTGTGAAGAGATCTCCGTGTGGAAAACTGGATGCCAACTCCTAGAACAGCTGCACGGAAACCCTAACGGAAGATCAAATAATAGACAAATGGAAAGAGAAAAGGAATGTATTAAATTGAGTTTATACCATTTATTTTACTAGCCTATATTAGCTAATGTGTAAGAATACAGCTACAAAACTATTAAGATGTTATCTCATGTTCACAATAAAATGAGTTTATGGTAAAAATTTAACAGCCAAGTTGCAGGTAAAAGCCCCGAATTATGAGGTCAAAATTTTGGATGTGGCTTTGATGGGTTAGGGTAAAAAAAAACAAAGAGTAAAACTGCAGACGCTTCAGGGTTTGATTTGGCCAACGACCATAACAAGCCTTGCTAGGTGTTACATTTTATACTTAAGACTGTATTTAACTGTGCATATTGTAGATCCATGGTGAGTAATGAAATGTAGAATATATTCAATGTCAATTCTTTCAAATGTCTAAGGCACAGCATAACTCTGCAGCTTATTAAACCTGTCAAAACAATGTACAGACGTTGTTGAGGGGCTGCTGCTTCAGGATGCCAGGCTAGCTTTCCTGCTGGTTTCTCCACAATGCTGCACCACCTCTCTTCTCCAGAACATACTTTGTGTCTCCATGGAGATGAGTAGTCTTGGGGAGTTTGTGCTTCTCTGTGGTGTGTGTGTGTGTGTGTGTGTGTGTGTGTGTGTGTGTGTGTGTGTGTGTGTGTGTGTGTGTGTGTGTGTGTGTGTGTGTGTGTGTGTGTGTGTGTGTGTGTGTGTGCGTGCGTGTGCGTGTGCGTGTCATGGTATGAAAGAGAGAAAGAGCTATCCCGCTCTTATTCCAGAAAGCTCACAACCAACGAACAAAACTGTTTTGGGTCATTTTCCTATTTAGTGGAGTTTTAATTCTTGCAATTGTGTCTAAAATGCACAAAATGTTCTGTGAGATTTTGGAATGATTTCCAGAAAGAAGTTTAGCTCTTTTCAGACATGCACGGCTTTCCAAAACACTAAACTAAACGGTTAGAATCTGCTTGCTGGTGCTTTTCTCTTCCTTCTTTCCAATGGCAATTTTACTTGGTTGAGCCAAAAAACAAATAGTTAATAAGACAACAAAAGCCTAAATTCCTGCAGCTCTATTATACATCAAAGACCTTAATGAGCTTTTGATTGGTGCTTGGATTAGCATTTATTGTGCTGCTAAATAACTGCTCCAACTTACTATATTTTTTCTATGCTGCAGCCATAGGCTTTGACAAATGAACAAAATAACTCACACAAACACACACACCAGGAGGATATTAATAGAGATGGTTTGATCCGAGATGGCACCATGTAAGTGTTTCTTTTTGGTGAGCTTTTGTTTCATTTTATTTTTAAATAAACATCTCCAAAACACAAGAGAGGACACTTTAAACATCAGGAGACCTATTGCGGTGGTATTTCTCCCAATTGTCTTTCCATCGTTGGTGGATTTATTACGTATTTTGGCCAAATGTGCTTTCAAACCATTTGCTGTGGTGAAGCAACTCAGAATAGGTCAGCTTATGGACACCGCTGCCTGAAATATTCCTCTCTGACAAGCCTTCAATGTGCAATTAAACAGATGAACATCAGCTGTTTTGGGGAGAAAAACATACTTTATCACTTGGTTGTGCTTCTACACCAGTAGTGATTTGTAATAGTGATCCAAAAACACTGCTGTCCATATTTTGAATAGTTTATCAACTTTAAAGCCCGTGAGATCACTTTGTTCATTCTAGCTAGTGTACACTTCCTACCGTAGGCTGGAGGCATAAAGGCTGTGAATGACCCAGACTCATGGGTTATTTTCCTTGGTGACTCACCTCAAATGAAAACTAGCCAGATGTAGACCGTTTATGAAATGGACTGTAAATCCCTGTTAAATCTCCATAAGATATCCATCAGTCTTGTGATGCACTTGGCTACAAATACATTTACTTAACTGGCAGTAAATCTAACTTATCACTGTACCCACATAAGATGTGATGAGCAGGAATGTCCATTAAATATTTAAAAGAATGTAATCAACATCGTGATTACTTAACTCTGTCAGTCTGACAACACGAGCCATTATTGTTACAAAACCTTTTTCTTTTAACTCATTCACTGCCAATGACGGCTTTAAAACATTGACATTCCATCGCTTTCTACATGCTGAACGTTTACTCCATGATGTAAACTTTAACTCCTGCAGTGTAGAGGAAACGTGTTAACATACGTCAACACGGTGGATTTAATAGAAGCTTAAAGAACAAACTCTGGACGGTGTGAGGTGAGTTTGTCTCACTGCAGAAATAAAAACACACACGGAGCGTCAGCAGTCAGACGCAGCCGCTCACCAACACTCGTGTGTGTGTGTGTGTGTGTGTGTGTGTGTGTGTGTGTGTGTGTATATGTGTGTGTGTGTGTGTGTGTGTGTGTGTGTGTGTGTGTGAGCGTCAGAAGGCTGAACAATAACCTGTAGAATAATTTAACTCATCATGATAGAGCAGCTTCTCTGTGGTGGACCACACAAGCTTCTGCCACAATAAATAATAATAATAATAATTATTATTATTATTATTATTATTATTATTATTATTATTATTATTATTATAATAAATCACACACAAAGTTGTGAACATTTTAATTTCCTTTCTGAACTATTTCTGTTGAGTTTTAATGTATAAAATCTGTTAGATTGTTACTGACAGCAGCTACGTTTAAGTTTCACTTCCTGTTCTGACTGAATGCTGCTGCAGCATGGAGGTGTAGTTCTCAGTCATCCTGGACATGATCATCCTGAGAGTTTTAGCTGAAAACAGCTGGACGTTTCTGGATATGTTGGAGACATTTAGCCTCTCATCCCAGAGGCTTCTTCCACACTTTGAATGTGGTCAGAAACAAACACACTGGTTGTGCTGCAAGTCTTTTTCTTTTTTTCTCCAAAACACGTTTTTGTCTAAATGAAGGTGATGATGTTGTTGATAGAATTAAAATTCATGTTGAAGTTAAGTTTATTTCATCAAGTAGGACCTGTGGTTAGCTAGTTCATGTAAAGCATGCCATGTCTTGAAAGAATCGGAATCGGGAATCGATAGGAACCACAATCGAAACAAGAAATTGGAATCGGAATCGTTCAAAATCAAACAATGCCCAACCCTAACAAAATGTCAAACCATGTTACAAATTTCTTACCTTTTGTTTAACAAAAGAATAAAAGAAAGTTGATGATTTCATCCTTTCTTCCACAGAAATCCTCATATAAGAGCATTAGGAGTAAAGAAGCAGCGCAGAGCTACCGCAACGTCTCTGAACTCAACACCAACAGTGAGTTCCAAATAACACCTGCAGAGCGGCCTCTCTATACGTTTCCACTGGGATTTAGGAAGTACTTCTAATGAGAGTTTGGGAGAGTAAGGAAAACATAGTAGGAGTTAAGAGAACAGAGTGAGTGGGGAGAGGATTAAAGTAAGTCTTAAGATGGAAGACTGGGAATTGAAACAAATGACTGTAGTGCTGCATGGCCTTCTGCAGCCGCTGAGGACCAATTACTCTGGCACATCCACAGTAACCTTTAACGGTGTCTAAATAAGGTCGATTCCTGAGGTAAATATGCAGTATCACAGCTCAATGCCGCTAATTGCTGCTGAGACTGTCTGTTACTGAAACGTGCAGCTTTAAGAAACGATGGAGGCTGGAAAGATCAACACAAAACTACAAGACAATGAGGGTGTTGTTGTGACATCTGAATAAACAAATAGGAATCTGTTGAGCCGACTTAAAGAGTCTATGTGGTTACTTGAAAAACAGAAAATTGTGTAATGTGCAATTTTACTCTAATCAACGCTAAAGCTTCAAAGAGGTGTCACAAATTTGCAGGGAGGGTTTTGGAGCATGTCCAGCCAGAACACCTGAGGGAGTATTCCTCTAGGCTGGTCCGGTAACACCTTGGAGTCCCAAGGTGAGGAGCAAGGTGAGCGTCTGACAAAGTAATTGTTCGGCAGGTTGTGAGAGGGAGTTTGTGGACGAACGAGGAAAAGGACAAGTAGCGCAAGCTGTTCATTTTCAGGACTACTTAAATAAAATCCCTGGATGACTGCGAACCTTCCCCAACAGTCTGTAAATAACAACAAATCCCATGTAAATAACTTTGCAATGCAAAACCAATAGTAATGTAAAAGTCTATGAATTTATGTTGCATGAATTCATTTGAAATTTGGAGTTGTAAGACTGGTAATCCTCTTTAGCCTCGACTAGCTGCTAGCTCTTCTGTCCAGTTTGGCATGAAATGCATTTGTCCAAACAGAAACGGTTCAGGAAACCATCTACTGATGACATGGTAGTTATTTTCAACTTTACTTGTTGTTATGAACACAAAATAGCAGAAATATCCCTTTCACAACATGTCTACTCTGTATTAACCAACCTTGCACAGATTGAAAGGCTCAATATTTCACTGAACCACGACAAATTAACTGTTTAGTAATTATAGTGTTCAGGAACCTCAGGGCCATTTTCTAACTACATTTCTGAAATGAATGAATGAATGAATGAATGAATGAATGAATGAATGAATGAATGAATGAATGATTGCACTATGTGTAACATAAGTATTGGTGGAAAAGAAATGATGTCTCATCATCAGTAATTTTGCTATTCATAAACATTTCAACAACTTTAGAAATGATAATTTCCCAAACGTTCCTGACCGAGTCTGAGTTTTGTTGCCGAGCACCACAGGTGTGTCAGTGTTCACCACTGCGCGACTGTGAAGCTGCTCCAGTGCACAGTGAGTCATGCACACCTGAAAATTACAGATGAGCTGACTGACTGGCAGAGGCTGGTGCTGAACACAAAAAAAAGGTGGTCAAATTAAAGCCTTTGAAGGAGTGGGAGACGTAAATTTGAGCACAATGTTCCCTAAATGCTTGAGCGTATTAGAAGAAGACAGATTACAAAGACTGAAACCCTCCTATTATCAATTTCTTCTCAGCATAATCATCAAATTCAGAAACAAGTTCCATCTAAATCAAAATGTGTCTGTTAATCAGC